GCTACTGGTCTTGATGTTGAGAAGGTTCATGTCCCTGTTGTCGGTGGTCACGGTGGCTGTGCTATTCTGGCTCTCTTCTCGCATGCTACACCTTTTGTAAAGTTGGATGAGAACACCATCAAGGCTTTGGATGAACATGTCCAGACTGCTGTCACTGAAGTCGTCGATGCTCTCGCTGGTGCAGGTTCGGCCTCTCTGTCTATGGCATACTCTGCTGCTGAGTTCATCGATACTGTCATCCGTGGTTTACAACAACAAGGAGGAGGAGACTACCAGCAACAGAAGAAGGCCACGCCGTCTGCCTGCGCCTACGTCAGCTGGCCTTATCAAGGGTGTGAGTTCTTCGCCCAGGTTACCAACTTTGGTCCCGAGGGTATCGAAGGTGTACAGCCGATCGACAACTTAAGTCCATTTGAAGAAAAGAGGATGATCGAAACTGTCAATAAGGTGAAGGGAGATGTGGAGAAAGGTATGGCTTACGTTGAGGCCCACCAGAATTAACCTGTCTTATATTCAGCAAAAAGCAATAACAATTGTTATTTTGTAATCACTACACTTGTCTAGCCTTATCAGACTTACTGGGCCTCTCTAGTCATCTTGTTTTCATCGATAGAAGCGGAGTGATACTCCGTTGCATATAATTTGATGTATGAGAGACCCGATTCAGTATTAGAGTGATGCTCTATTCTTAACTATGATATGTATTGAGTTTGAGTCTTACAAACAGAGGTTATTCTGAATTTCCAATTGCAGTTGATTTAAATGTTCATGTTCATCATCGTCGTGGAAGTTTCTCCCTTTAATCTCCTCAAAGCCCAGATTTCTCAATATCATTTCCTAATATTCCATATCCGTGGGATGTGGAGGTCGGCCGCCAAAGAAGTGTCGACTGGACTCCAGGCATTGGAGAGCACCACCTAGGCGAGCCTACTCCTCCTAATGGACACGATGTTCAACTGCAGCGTTCAGCTTGCACCTCAGCAATGCAGCAGCATCGGACTCCAGTCGAAACCTCTTTTGGATGACCTCCGCATCCTGAGGTATTTCCATATTAACATGTGCTGTATCATCAATGGCCGCCTCTTAGACTTCCAATCGATCGGTCTCCTTATCGTGTTACAGTTTGGCCTGAAGCACCACACGAAGTCGTCGTTGCGGACGCATGTAACTTCGACATTTGAGACTATGTTCTGCTCACATA